AAAATATATCTAAGATCGTTTGCCTCCGTTGACTCACCTTCGATATTTTTAACTATAAACCCCTGTAGACAATGCTGAATTACGTGCGCCAGTTTTTCAAAATCAGGGTAGATTTCCACACGCTTTATTTCTGAAAGGAAGTCGATGATCCCCAATTTTTTTTCATTTCTGACACAAGTAACTCCTTATCTGACCGCAGTAAAAATTTAAAAAAATCTATCGACTGGAAAATTTTAACACAACGTAAAATGTAAACACAACGGACTTCTCTACGGTCGAACTCGAAATGAATGATGAAAGATTGATTTATTTGACATTAAATTAAGGTTAGGAGTATCAGGAAGTCGCTTGAATCATCCCGTAAATGGGGGAGCTTGCAAAGTCCAAAATCTTCTGCAACCATTTGAGGTAGGTAATTATCATTTACTTGTCATTTCCTCAGCTAATAACCGGAAAAACTACCCGCAGTTTCACAGTTTAACGGTCTTTTATAGCATGTCGAAAGATGGCATGTCGAAAGATGGTTGAAAGATGTCGCGTATGCACGTAACACTGAAAGCGGGTGTAAAACACGGGAATAAGCGCGTGTCCCCGCTATTCACTCAATGCGCGTCTAGTTGCTGCTAGGACTTGCTAGCGAAATGCCGAAATACAGTGCTCGTCGGGCCTTACTTTGGCAATCAATTGCGAAAAGTAAAAAGAGAAGACTCGCATTACATACAGTTCTGAGAAAAGTGTATCAGAGAAGACAGCTATTGCTCCAAGTGGCATGCTTAACCGTGCTTCTGTTAGTGAACAACAATGGAGCAGCGATCTTGAGCAGCGGTTTTGATGTCAGCAATGACTTTCGATAGCTCGCCATTCCCGGTAGCGAAATTGTCTTTGTACAGCGCATTCTCGTCAGGAAGGCGGGGAAACAGCGTTTGGCAGATGGGGGAGTATATATTTTTGTGACGTTTGCCCAGTCCATCAAATTTGAATCAATTATTTTGTCATTTGCATGATTTATGAATTGAGTTCAGCCCATGTTTAGAACGGCGTTTGCTGAAACGCCGAACCACTGTCGCATTATCCGACTTGGTAAGTCGAACTTATGTTAGAGTCGAACCATTAATTTGAGTCGAATTTAATTGCGGCAAACGTCGCACCATTCGTGCGCCTATTTCAAAATTAATTGGTTCGACGAATTAAGTTCGACTAAGATTCGACGTTTACCCTAGGCCTAAGTCGACTCTTTGTCGCACCTATTTTTAATTTACTCCACGCGACTTGAATTCGACGTTTGCCCTAGGCCTAAAATCAATTATAACTTTTAGGCAAACAAGCAATTACCTAGCCTTTTGTTGTTGTTGTTGTTTTTTTTTTGTAAAAAGGCACTGATCCTTTGTGGAAATCCGCTATGGCGGCGGATTAAGTCGATGTGTGCTTTTTGACGCTTTATTTCTTTAGAAAGCTACGCATTCTAGCATTCTGTTGCTAGTTTTTGGCCTAATTTTGACAATTTTCAATGCATTGACAGGATGATTTCTATTCACTTCAGTTTACTCCAATCTAAATCCACCATTAAACGTACGAACAGCGAACGGGAAACGTCTAACCTCAAACCGCAGCTGGACGTTTGGGGTACACTTAGATTTAAAGGTCTCTAATGACAATCACTTTCGACTTCGGCTATCGCCTCTTGGATCCACAGCTACTTTGACAATGCTCTGACGAAATTCATGATCAATAACAGGGCAGACGTATTAAAAACTAACGTCAATTTGTTGTTATGCAAACGGTTTATAGGAAAAGCAACATAACCTTATTCAAATGCAAGATAATAACTGTAATCAATCTTGTCGACAGTTGAGTTGACGCGGAGTCATGTTTGGCCAGAATACGTCCGAGTCTAAACTGGTTGATTAAGGAAAAAGAAATGATACAACCCCACTTGCTCTGCAGCAACCTTGGTTTTGGTCACTACCAACCTTAATGTTTACGATTTTCTATCTCCTGACAGAAATAGGGCATGGGGCTCACAAGAGACTCGAGGTGACGCAAGAACGCGATTCATTGCTTGCGTGGACGAATTACGCGGGCGTTTTCCTCGCGCGTGCCGTCGTCCTGAGTAGGCAGCGTGAAGAACCAGACCAAGCTACATTTTATAAAGCTAAATGAAGTTTCTTTACTGAATTTAAGGCCCTATTTCCCTTGTAGGGAAAAGGACACGATGATGAATTACTGAATTGAATTCCTTAAGTTAGGGTCAACATCACAAAGGCCACGTTTAAACTTCAATTCTTGTTCGGTGGTTTGCTAGCAAATACAGCAAAATCTAACTACCAAGAATCTGTCTTAAAGGTTGACAAAAAATCACTCTGATATGCTTTCATTTAACATTGCTCAACTCCAATCCTAAGGTTTGCAAAGAAACCTGATCAATGCTAATCAATGATTAAAAGACGATCGGGTTTCAACCTTCATGTTAAGAGTGTTTTCATGCTAATTTAAGTAACGTTTGCCCTAATCATAACCATTGTTGCTTTAGCTTGGTTTACCTTTAGTTCTGTTGTGTTTTTACAGCTAACCAAACAATTATTTGAAGGCTCCTTTACGTTTGAAGACAATTTTTCAACTTGCCAAAGATGATATAATATATTACAACTCGGCTCTTTGAAGTGACGTGAAAATGAAGAAAAATCCGCTGAAAACTAGTCTTCCAAATCAGAACCAACAGAACCAGAGGGTGAATCACCCAGACTCAATCCCCCCAAGGCGACAAACAGCCAGAAACGCAGTCAAAATGGAACATACGTTCTGAAATTAAAGGGCCTGTTGCACTTTACTACGCATGTGCGGCGATTTGATGTTTGACACAACCTAATAAATAGGTAGATTTAGCCAAGCCTAAAAGCGGAGCTCCTGATTGCAAAAGCGAACCTTAAAGAAAAAAGAGGATTTCTTGAAGCAGAAAAAAGATCAATTGTGAACATGTAATTGTTCAGCATGTGGTTTCACTATTTTTTCCAGTTAAATTTTAACAAACTGACGAGGCGATTGTGCAAGGAATATGTAGGAAGAAACGTCAAAAACGCGCCAGGGGTTAATTTGCGCCAAAATTTTGCCTTTGCACGTACTCCCTCCCTCTCCCCCAAAGTAATAACCTGGCTTTAGCCCGCGATCCAGAAAAACAAACCAGTCATTGGTCAGCGGTCGACTTCAAAAAAAAAAAAA